CTAAGCAGAGACCAACCTTCCTGCTTTCATTTCAGCGAAGCATTAAATACACAGAACACACGCACAGTTTGGTAAACTTGAGATTCAAAGTTGTAGCGAAAAAATAGTAACACAAATCCATTTTATTTCTGAAAGACTGAAGTGGACTGATAAGTACTGCCATCTAGCTTAAGTAATGTCAGATGCAATAGCAACTGGGAATAACAGTTTAAAGGTTAATAATGTTACAATTTATATGAATCAGTGCATTCTGTTTATGGCAGAGAGAACTAAGTGGAGTTTCAGATCAGCACCATCTCTACAGGGCTGGAAGAAAACGCCATCTGTTGAAAATGTGTACGACACTGTTGAACTGCTACTGAAGCCTCAAAGAATGGTTACCTAAACATTTCCACGCTGTCAGGCAGTCAAACTCTACTGGCAAAAACCTTTTTTGGTTATTGGGTTATAACAACATCTGTGTTTAAGTCTAGTAGTAAAAAAGTTTACCAGCACTTAGAATCAAACAGCCTTAGTAGGCTTAACCATTATTCAATGAAGATGCAACATCCAGGATTAAAATGCCTACTGCTTGCTCTGAATTGCTGTGTTTCAAACATAAGATAGTAATGCATCGATTTAGTCAGTGCAACTGGAACAGATAGAAAACCATGTTCACCCTACTTAACGTATTGTACAAGGAGATGAGTAAATAGTAAAGAGGTCCAAGTACCAGTAATTCCTCATTTGGCTTTTTTTAATTTTTTTTTTTTTTTTTTTTTTAAGTTAAGCATTCAGTTTATTTACATTCTTCTCCCCTGCTTGTAAGTAAATGAAAAATAAATGCTTCTTTGCATACATTATAAAATTAAGGTAGTAATCCTTCTCCAGCAATGTATCTTGGAAATGGAATGAAACTATCCTGGAGCTCTAAAAGCTGGCAGTATGAGAAATGCTAATTAGAGCTCATCTCTCTCCTGTGCATGCTGTTTTCCCATATATCGGAAAGCAAAAGGGCAAAATCTTGAAAGCTTCAATTTCTAATTAATTTTATCTTTATCTTTTTAGGCTTTCAATCAGCCATAAGTTAATGCCTAACTCAAGCTGGCATCCATAAATATCATAAGAAAACCAAAGTCAAGTATCCTTGGCTTCACCATCTTCAAGGCTTCTAAATGAATAACAGTATTCTTACTATAACATTATTACCTTGACCAATGGAGAAAATCTTCCCTCTTTCAGCAAACCGCCCATCAGAAAGTGGGAGGTAATCTGCTACCTAGGTACTTGTGAAGTGAGGAAAGCAAAGTTGACATATTCCTGGAACTGCCAATGAGCAATTTTAAATTCCATCACTGAGCAGGGAAAAATATTAATCTCAAATTCCATTGTAAGCAGGTCAAAAGCACACCCCACGACAACCAGAAACACCTTTCCTAAAATTTTTATGCTGTTATGAAGAAAGTGTCACATAACTTCAGTAAGAATTGTGAAAAGGTTTGGGTTTGTTCAGTTTTGGAAGAATTGGGTTTTTTTTCCTTCTTCTTTATATAGAACCACACACTTGACACTTCTTCCTTTTACAGGTGAAAGACTTAAGTGGTAATGTCTTCACGGAGAAGCCTTTTAGGCAGTTTCCACAAAGGGGCTGCTGTCCTGTCAAAGTACTCTAACAAAAATATTTAAGCAAGCAAAGATCCTCATCTTCTGAAAAATACTGGAGAATTTAAAATAGAACATGGATTTCAGTTATAAAAGCTCAAAAAAAAAAATACTCTGATCACAACCATTCTGAGTTTAGAGCTTAGGAAGTCTTCAGCCATTTAAGGATGATGACACTACGTGATTCTCTTGAATGACTGACATGTCTTACAGAAATCCTAGTGGTTGGCATGCTGGCTGGACTCGCTGACTGCCATCCATGTTAAGCAAACAAATGAAAAACAGAGGACCTTTTAAAGTATATCCTCTCACTTCTGAGATGTTGACATATGCCAAGTACATCAACATTAAGACTGGATTTGATGTTTGCCAGTGAGGATCCACCTTAGAGTCTGTGCACTCAACATACCTTAGCAAAAGGATGCTAACAGTTTGAAGATGAGCATTCTACAGTAGCCATAGTAGGAGAGATGCAAGTCATTTAGATTGTGGACAAAACTAGGTGGCAAGATGTGCAAGAGGTCCATTAAAATAATTTTAAAAAAACTAACTCTATGAACTTAAAATTACAGTTTGCGTTCCAACATACAATACTCACCACTTCTGATCATATTAACTTAAGCTCTTAGTTCTATAATATTTATTAAGTAGCAGCTATAAAGTTACAGGACAGCTGGTGATAAACTGAGTGTTGAGAGCAGTCTGTGCTCCAAAGGTTTGCCATTTTGAAGCCAAAATCTATCACTATGATAATTTCAAATTATTTGTTTGTACAATGCCATAACATATTTTTATCCAGAAGACAGTTAAAATTGTGTATTTTAAAAAGATTCCTAACACTTAAACTCAGTTGGTGAAGAGTCCAATACCTCCTCTGTTTCAATTTTTTAGTTATACTTACTACAGAAAACTGAATTTGTTTTGGCTTCTCAGTACTTGAGCTCACCTGACTTTGATGTCAGGATTAAGAAGTGCTGTCCTCCCACTCCTCAGTATCAGACTTTTTTTTCCCCCCATATGTAAATATTTACTCTCCAGAATCAAAATGCCACTTCATCTTCTTTGGTAATGATAGAGACAGAGTTCCTCAAACTTCACACTGCAAGATCTACTATCCAGTCCCAGATCTTACTTTAAACGCAATTAGTGCTATAGCCTTCTCAAATGCAAACATCAAAACTGAACATTTTTCTGGCAGTAGTATTGGAGGAAAAATAAGTTCCCTACTTTCATGTATTTTTTCCCTTTGTACATGTTCAAGTACTTCATCAGGCTCTTAACTACAACTCTGAAAGCTCAGCATTAAAGTGGTTCTCTGGCACAAGTCTTTCTGCATCACTGCGCTTTTTTTTGTCTACCATGTACAGAGTGTACAGTCTTTGTTCAAAGAGACCATTGTTACCTTGTGATTACTTTTTTTGCAGCTACAGCTATTCAATCTGATGATTCAGAGAATAATGGAACAATATCATGTTCTCATTATTTTCTATTCCACCAATTTTTGTCGTCTCCAAACTTTACCAAACAGTTGATTCCTCCTTGGCTTTTCTGTATAGATGACATACAATCATTCTTTGTTAGACAGTAAAACTCTGGATTCCTTCTGTTCTCTGAAGGAATTAAGCAATGTACCAGGACTTTTAAGGTACTTGCACATGTAAGGTCTCCATTGCATTTTCTAACCCTCCTCTTCCAACTGTTTCACTAGCCACAGTAAATGCTTCCATTAACATCACCACCACTTCTTGAGGACAGAACTAACACATCGGTTATGTACAGTGGAACCTAAATAGAAAATGATAGAAAAATAAATGTATCATTTGATTTTAATTACCTACAGGTTTTGAAGGCTCCTTAGTAGAAAAAAATTTAGACAGTCAGTGAACTAATTCTTTCATACAATATAGCACGTACATGTTGGCAAGAAGTGAACCCCTAATCACAGGTCTCTTGCAGTGGCACCTTTTACTGAGGCAACTAGAATACCCCTATGGAAGAGCTGAAACCACTTAGTCATCTACTGGGTAAATTGCTTGTGTTCAGTAGAGCAAGAAGTATTTCTTTGGAATGTACCTCAAAAGAAATTCCTGCTCAGTATTAATATTTTTCAAACAAACTGAATAAAAGGCACTGTTGCTCAAGCAGTACATTTGTTGTCTCCAGCTGTTTAAAAAAAATAAAAAGATGTTTTTGAACAACTAGCTACTGTTGCCCTAAGAAGGCTTCCTTGTTACCTCATAGTAATTTCACCTCTCCCTATGAAAGCTTAACGTAAAAATTGCTTTTATCTGAAGTATGTCGAGTCTCACTTTTATATCTATCTTTATATCTAAAATTACGAGTTAGTATAACAGTATGCATTATAAAATTATACCATTTACTTCAGACATGTCTGAACAGCTAAATCTTCAAACTATACAAAAATAAAGTGTATGAAATCTTACAAAAGAAGGACATTAAGACATTAATAGCTAATCCAAAAAATATAATAACAACTCATACACAGCAGTAAGCATAAGCAATGTAGCCTACAACAGCTTTCAATTAACAGGACCTCTGAAACATGTCTGAAACAACTATCAGTTAAAATTGGAACATTCCCAAACACAATAATGTTTCCAATTTATTATCTTTGCCACAGTACATACGTTCACAAACCAAATGTCCATCGTCTGTCAGTCTGTAAACAAAAGCTACTATCCCCCCTCCCCATTCTAAGAGGGTGAATATTTTTAGTCCTCAGTCAACTTTCATATCCATCACTTGCATAAGGAATCAAGAGCCTCTTCTCTTGTTAATTGGTTTTGGGGTTTTTGTTTTTTTGGGGTTTTTTGTGTTTGTTTTTTTTTTTTGTCATACAGCCTGCAGTGGAGTAAAATCACAGTGAAAGTCCTGGGAAAAACATGATCTTTACAGCAGGACTTGAACCATTCTAATAATAAATGCATCTAACAAAGCTTCCCATAATAAAAGCATGGTATTTCCATTTCCAGAAATGAAGTCAATTAGAAATCCTAAGTTCTACTTAAAAACCTCAGAAGATCTAAAAGTGAAAATATTCATCTTCTCAGTCAAATACAAGTCTTTCAGCTTCACTGGCAGAGAGACTTTTCCAGTCTGTAAAACAGTAGTGCAATTCAATTAGTTCTACTTCTTTTATTTTTCTTAAAGTCCAGTAGACAAATGTCCTAGCTCTATGGAAAGATAGGAAGATGCTCCAGTAAACAAGAAACTTTGGCAAGCCCAGGAAGGCTTACTAGTCCATTAAAGCTCAGAAGTCCAAAGTGGCTTAAAAATGGTTTATGAATAAACTATAAAAAAAAAGCCAACAAAACAACAACAACAAAAAAACACTAGAAAAGACAAACAAAAAAAAAGGGGAAATAAATAGCCAGAAATGAATGTAAACTGTCTGAACTTTTTAATGATTTCTCATTGACAGCTGGCACGACCTTTGACAGTACAGTCAATTAAATATAGTTGACCTACCAAGCATTCCATTAGGGCATCCAGTCTGGAATGCTCAAATGGAATTACATTCCTAAAGATTTAAAAAATAGAGTTCTTCTAACATTACTATAGGTTTCTTCTGTCAACCTCACTTACACTTCTTCTTAAAGAGGCTTTTTATTTTTGATGGCTTTTTGTTTTTTTCACCGTTTTGGTACAGGTCCTGCGGGATGCTACTTATCCTAGGGACAGAAGCAGCTTCATGGTTGGGTTTACTATCACTGCTGGCTGAAGACGATGAGGTGTGACGAGGCTTTGGGACTGGGATCCCAGTTGAAAGCTGGTTCATGCTGCAGGACTTCTCCAGAATTCCATTATAAACTTTGCTTGCAGGACTAAAGATCATGCTCTTAGTTTCTGCCATGCCTACACAGTCAGGAGACCCCCTAGAAATATCTGCAGTTAGAGAAGAAGAGTCTCCTGTAGATGATTCCTCCAGTGAGAAATCTTCCGGGGATACTTTCTGAGGAGAAAGCGTCTGGTACATCTCAAGACTTGCTGGAGGAGACTGCTTCCTTCCAGTGGATGAATTTAAGGAGTCACATTCCGAACCTGTTTCCTGTACTTCCCTGAGTCAGAGCAAAAAAAGGAGAAGACATAATGAAACTACTATTTCGTTCATGCAGTTAAAAAGGAAATTAATTTAGAATCAACAAGAGTCTAAAAGCACCACCCGCACTTTTCCTTAGTAGTTAATTAACAAAAAACATTAAGTTAAACATTTTAAGTTACAACTTGCATGACATCATTTTATTATCTAAACTTAAGAGAATTAATTTGTGTGATCTTGTTTTTGTGGGCAGCAGCATCGGCCCAGAATCAGTCATTTGTATCTCACTTCAAAGAACAAAAACTCTCTGGCACGTGAAGTCAGAAAAGTTATGACATGAAAGAAGGAGATTTAAGCCTATCATATACAAAAAGTTTCTTCAGGACAAGTGGCCCTACCTTTCAACAAGCTCATTTGCTCCTTCCAAAAGGAATTTAACCTTTTCCTATGAGGCCATGTAACAAGAGTAGGTACACGCTCAACATGCTGTAAGAATTGTGTTACCATCCATCTTCTCTTCGCCCAGTAGCTGACACTGCTTTTGATCCTAGTTTCAGATGTAAAAGCCAGTAACATATTGTAATGGAGAATCAGGGTTAGTTCAGTACACCCTGAATTGTAACATTACTTAACTGTATATGACATGCTAGCTATTTACATACACATACCAGACAAGAACTCTCTCTGTTCCATGTGGAATATATTAATTTATATTATCCTACAGATTACTTTAACTTTTGGCTTAGTTCAACCTCCAATTCTAAACTGTTAGTCTCAAATAATCCTATCAGAGTTCCAACTGCTGTTTGCTAATCCCCGTACCATTGTTTATCAGCAGAGAAGTAAATGGCTTCCTCCTCCTCTTCAGTTCGATAAAGAGCTGGGCAGCTCGACACAGAAAGGATGTCAGGGTCAGGAGAGTGCAAAGCATGCTGAGACTGTGGAGATGATGGCACAACATTGCGTCTTGATCGACACAAGCTACTGCTTCTTGCCAGTGTGCTGGGAGGTTTTACAATGGACCCTGAGGCAAAGAAAAAGCAAACCAAAACCTCCAAGTGACATTGATGTTAATATCTACTCTGAAGACTAAATATCAGGTATCTGCTTCAGCCACAGTGATTCTCAAACAACTTTGACATTGTTCGGCTGTTCAGGAGGAGGAAAGATTGGCATCACCTTATACATTCTAGTTAGATGAAGCAGCTAACCAACATGCGACTGCAGCGGTTCTATGCCTGCCGAGTATACTCTGATGACGTGCACCAAAGCTCTGTTCTCAAGGGAGCATAGTGAACCAAAGAGAAAGATTCTACTGAAACTCCCAATCCTTTATAAACAAAAAATAGCCGTGCTGAAATTAGTATGTTACACAATATCCTGTATTTTACTTGTGTGGCAACTTGGAGTTTAAAAGCATACATAAAAGCTTTGCAATGTAGGTATACCTAACCAAACAGCCAACTCAAATGCACTGCATTAGTTTAAAGTTACATTAGGCATGGAAAACCAATTTCATTTACATAACATGATGTAGAATATATAATTCAACCTCATTTTAAGCTAAAGAATTTCCCATTTGATAACACTTTCTTTTGCCAGGCTAACTATAAATTTCCGGAAACAAAAGTACTAAGAACGGGTGGAGACAGCAACACAAAACTTGACCAGCAAAGTACCTAACATGAAGTAACAAACCAAAAAGTTCCTAATCCAATTCCCTCCTTCAAAAGATGATTAGGCAGCAATACTTCTATGGAAATAAATTTACAGACCTGTTTTCAGGCTAGCTGTTATGAGTCTCAGGATTTCTCATACCCATCCTCAAACTGTCCCACAGAATGCATCACTGCTTAGGTAAGACAGATCATACCCTTACTGACGTTCAAAATGTTTACCAAACACAACACACTAAAAAAAAATGCAAATATTTTTGTAGACACGGATGTCTAACCCTGAAAAAACGCATTTTATTTTTTTGAGATGCCAGTTTAGCAGCAGGTAAATTACAGTTTCCCTTCCTGGAATCTCAGAAAAGTTTGAGCTGTCATTCTGTTTCAATGCAGGAAAACACAGTTTTCACAAAACAGCAAGTAGCTGCACCTTTGCCAACACTTAGACTTTGCTTCCTGCTGGGCCGAGCAACAAAGAAAGATTTACAAGTCCCAACATGACAGTTGTCATGTAACTCAAACTTTTGATTTTACTTTTGATGAACCCTCTACTGACCTGAAAAGCAGGTGTTGGCAGCTCAAACACAAAACAAGCTTGTGTCATTACAAAAACATTCCTAAAAAAGCAAGTGTGAACTCAGATAAGAGAATAAAAATCCCTTTAGAATATTTGTACTATGTGTCCAGATAAATCAGATGCCATCCTACCCACTGGTGTAAAAAAGAACAAGATTGCATCATCAGTGAATTTTGAGAGAAGTTACAAGCATTTTGGTTCCTTGTAGGTGTATATACATTGGATTATGAATGATTCAGCTACGACAATTTAACATCTAGAATTTTCTAGTACAAATGAAATTCACTAAATCAAGGAATCAGCTAAATCCTAATCAGTCAATGGAAAAGTGTAAGTTTCACTATCACCTTCCTGTAATGACTTTGTTCCAGTCTTGTACATTTATTTCTTTATCCTCTTTGGTTCTTCAGATCAAGATTGACTAAAGAGATCTACTACTTCACACCATTTTAGCCTATCATCCCAATTGCTGCAGCACAAAGAAGCCTGTCTGGCAGACTTCAAATTCTGTCAGTCTTACGAGATCAAAGGATGCTGGGGCAAGATAACAGCCCAGATAGTTCTGTTTAGGTCCAGAGACTGAAACAGTCTTGCTCATAACTGACCTGTCTGCACACTGCATTTTGTCTGAAGCCTCATGAGACAAGCCATTTTCCTTCTGTCCTTCGTCGTGTGCATTTGTCATTTTTGTCTAAAGGACGGGAATAATTTAGCAGTTGCCAAACTAACCTACAACAATTTGACTCCTGAACTAGTTTCAACAACAGATCATGGTCCTGCTTGACCAACCTGATCTCCTTC